AAAGACACCCATCAAAAGAGTGAGAAAACCTAAAGAAGGGCTCAGTGGGGAGGGTACCAGTGGCTGGCTGCAAAAGGGCTCCATTCTCTTGACTCTCAGGCACCTCCCAGAAAACACGCAGAGAAGCCCAGGTGTGCCAGAAACAGCCTTTCGTAATAGAAGATGGACGGGGAAGGCCAAGGGCAGGCAGTTTCCAATCTCCACAAGGGCAAGAAGGTAGAGTCCACACTTCTTTCTTGTCTTTTTCTTTATTTAAGACAGCGTTTGGCTCTGTCACCCAGGCTGGAGCACAGTGGCACTATCTTGGCTCACTGCAACCTCCGCCTCCTAGGCTCAAGCAATCCTCCCACCTCAACCCACCAAGTAGCTGAGGCTACAGAGGCCCACCACCATGCCTGGCTAGTTTTTGTATTTTTTTGTAGAGACAAGGTTTTGCCATGTTGCCTAGGCTGGTCTTGAACTCCTGAGCTCAAGCAATCAGCCCACCTTGGCTTCCCAAAGTGCTGGGATTACAGGCGTGAGGCACTGTGCCTGGCTGAGTCCACACTTCCAAACTTGCTGTTGCTCTCAGACTTGCAGACCAGCCTATTAAACAGAAGTAAGTAAGAGCTGAGAAAGGGAAGTGGCCACTACAGAACCAGTTTTGCTGAGAACAAGGACACGGGTCAGGCTATGCTACCCTCCTTCCGTGGCCTTGGGAAGGAGGGATGGATGCTGCTGGTGTGAGATCTAGATCATAACAGATCAGACTTAAACTAATTTGCCCATGATGACGGCGTGGATTTGGAGGGACCTGGGAAACTCAGACCTACGGCATGTCCCAGCAATATGTCCTGGGCTCCAGACCAGCCCTGCCCTGCATGACAAGTTGGATGAAAACTGATGAAGGACTAGTCATAGCTTCAGATGGCAAAACTGAGCCGGCCAGAATGAAAAAGGAGAAGGAATTGAACAGGGCAAATGCCAAGCTCTGCATTTAACTAACCAAGGCTGCTTGGCACGAACAAAACTGAGACAGAGAAATGCATGGAGAAAAGATCCAGGCATTTGTGGGCCACAAGCTCGGCATGACACGGATGCAAATATTGATGGGTACACCCCAGGTGGCTGTGACTCCCCCTGGCGGTTTCCATGCACAACTTCCCCCAAAATAGGTCCTACAACTCCATGCAGAGACCTATCCTGGCACCCTTAGAGCTTCCTAGCCTGCGTGCCAGAGAGCAGAAGTGCCTAGAGGCTCCATCCACCCCTGGGTGGTCCTTACTCTGAGGTGAGATTGCACCCAGGGCTCCCCTTTACAGTCTGGCTTGACTGAGATCACACCCTGCCTTGCCTTCTGTCCCTCTCCTAATTTGCTCTCCCCTCCCTAATAACTCCAGCATCCTCATCTCAGCAGGAGCTTCTGGAGAACTCAACCCAAGACGAGTGGTGAGGGATGGGGTAGCCCCCCTCCTCCATGCACTCTGGGAACTCCATTTTCACAGGCCACAGCCAGAGGACACAGTCCCGGGCAGGGTGCAAAGCTGTGGGCGATGAACCCGGAAATTCAGAGGCTCTGAATGAGGGACTTTTAAAGAAGTTGGATGTGGGCTGTGATGGCAGCCGAGCTGGCAGGGTAGGAGCTGGCCCCTGAATGTGGCTATGAGAGGGGTGCCCAACACCACCAGAGTGTGTGCTGAGCACCAACTCAGTGCCAGGCATTACATGGGTGGCTCTATTTAATCTCCACACCAAGCCTGTGGAGGCACCATTGTCATCCCCATCTTACAGTTGAGGAAGATCATCAAGGCTTATAACTTGTTCAAGATCACATGGCTATAGGTGTGGATCCAGATTCAAACTCCAGCTTTAGCCCACTAAGCTACAGTGGCCAACCCCAGCCCAATGTATTAGGACCTGCGTGTAGAAGACCCCTTCAGCCCTTGTAAACTTAGGTAGGATCTGGCATGTCTAGAGGAACAGAGACCTCATCCAGGTGACACAGGAGGTAACATCACAGTGAAATAGGCAATCCCTGTTTTTCACCACCACCAGTACTGTGACCTCAGGCCAGCCCTACCAGTTTCTTGTGAGAGTGATGGCGCCTGGGGCCAGACAAGGAATGCACGTCTTGTGTCATGGTCACAAGACAGGCAGGCCCAGAAAAGACAAGCTCCAGGAAGCCAGGCTCCAGCTGTCGGGGGTCCTGCTTGCCAGAAAAGGATAGCAGGTGAGGAGAAGTGGAGAGCCCCTGGAGAAGACAGAGGGGGAATCCATGCTGAGGCAAGGGGCTCTAGGACTCTGGGGTTTACGCTCCAAAGAACAGAATTTACCAGGACCAAATAAACAAGACCAGCCAGGACTGATGCCCCATCCCCGCTGGGGCCTGGCAAAGCTCTGATCTCTGAATTTGTATCTATTTTGAATTCAAAACCAAACAAACACATCATCAGTGAACTCCAACACCTCCCAGAGCGGGGCCTGAGAGGGACCCAGAAAGTCTGGCCAGAAATCTAGAGTCCAAGGGGAGGAGATCTGTAAACTAAACTACTGGCCATGCTCTGGGACCCTAAACCGCTGCAGGCATCAGGCCTATTCCAGGAGAAGGCACAGCAAGGGGAGTTGAGAGGGGTCTCTAGTTCCAGTCAGAAATGAGGCTGCGGTCACCCTAAGTAGACTTGTCAGCAGCAGCTACAGTGTAGCCGGGCTAGGGAGACCAGGATTGTGGTTTAGCCAGGAGAGCGGTCTGGGACCCCCGCCGAGACACACGTGTTGGATTCCAGCACCACACTGCAAACATTCATCTCAGTGATGATGAGGTGGTTGGGAGCTTGCCTGGGCCCAGCCTGGCCTGCTATCCTGGTGAGCCAGGGCAGCATGGAGGTAGCACAGAGTGGCACCCAGTCAGCATGAGTGCATGAGAATCTGCATGTGACAGAGGAGAAAGTCTCTTCATGAAGTGGGTTTCACTGGTCCCAGCCAAACCCTGTGGCATGTAACCCCTTCTGCCCTTGCTGAACCTGCCACTCACCTCGTCCCAGGTAGTGGTTTTACCCTCCTCTTGCTCAAACTGAAAACCTCAGTCTCCTGAAATGCCTCCTCCTTCCCAAATCCACTGCACACATGTGTACTGTGTATGCGCGGGTGTGCACGTGTATGAACCCAGCCCCCAGCGGCCCACTCCATTGCCCCTGAACAGGCCCCTCCTTGGAATCCCCTGGCACAGCCTCCTGGGCTCCTGCCTCCCACCTCTTCTGCACCCTGCTCTTCTCCACTGGCAGCCAAATGGATATTTCTAAACTGAAATCTAGTCCCCCCGCTCTACATCCCTTCCACAGTTCCCTGAAGTTCCTTTTCTCAGTTACACCAGGATCTTCACAGTGGGGACCCCTGGCCACCTCCCAGCCCAACAAACACCCCAAATGAGCTGCCACTGCAGAAACTCATCATGGCCCAGGCAGGACAAGTACAGCCAAATACGGACCAGGCTGCTCCATCTCGCTGGCAGGTCCTGCCCTCCCTCCACCCAGCCAACTAACCCCTGTATCCTCAAGACCCTACTTAGCTGTGGCCCTGTGTGAAGGGTCCCTCCCCATGTACCCAGAGCCATCTGTTCTCTCCCATGTGGCCCCAACAGGTTATGATTCCTGAGGACCCCATGCGGGGCCAGGCATGAAGATGGCATGTACCCATGTGTCACTCCCAGAACGTGAGCTGCCTGCCCTGGCACCATACACAAAGGGACCGACAGGCCCAGAATCCCAAGAAGGGGTGCACCTGTGCATACGGGAAAAGCACATTTATGAGTGAGAATGGCCCACTGTGGGGCTTCAGGAGGCATCTGACCTGAAACACGTCTTTCTCACTTTATCCTTGTGGCCTGTTGAAATGCCACTCCTGCTTTACAAATTGACCCACTGTTGCATGAATCATTTCCACCTCGATGAGTACCAGGTCCTTGAAGATGGGAAAAGGTGAGCCAGTTTGAGGGTCCTGGGCTCCCAGGTGCAGAAGAGGCCCCAGGAACAGGCCAGGTCATGGGCCACGACCCCACAGTAGCCCTTTGGCCCCTCACAAGGGTGGATTGGGGGACTATGTCCCAGGAGCTTGGAGTCCAAAACACCAAGACCCAGGACAAGAACACAAACCCACTCCCATTCTTCACAGGCCTTGAGAAATCTTTGGGCAATGAAGTCAGACTGTGCCAAACCCCTATGTTTCTGTCTCCCCTAGTCCCCTGGCCCCTACTGCCTAGCCTAGGTCAGGTCATGTGGGCAAGTGAGCCCCCACAGCCTCACAGCCCCTACCCCAGGGCCCAGGGTAAAGCTCCTTCCCTGTCCCCCTCCATTCCTGCCCTCCCTCCTTCCATGAACTGCACCAGCTAGGAAGAAGTCCTTAAGCCAATGGAATGCAGTGAAATAGTGCAATTTTAGGCTTTGCAACTTATTTGAGGGCAAGTGGCCGCCCATTCTCCCCTTCCTCAGGCCAGCCTCTGGCACAATGACCCTGGATGCCTGGTAGCCCTCCGCAATGGTCAGCATCCTCCCCTGCCATCCCCAGCCCACACCATGAGCTCATTCAGGGCAGAGGCAGCCTCTGGCTCATTCACCACAGAAACACAGAACCCGGCACAGAAGATGCGCTCAGTAAATTCTTCGTGTACATAACTGCACTGAACTGGACTGGGCGCATGTTACAGGGAAATCCCCCAGGCTCAGCCAGCCCTGGCTTTGAACCTTAGTCCCACCTCTTCCAGCTGTCCAGGGCGGGGAACATCGGCTACAGCCTTGCCAAATGCCTGTGGTTTCATCTGTAAACCAGGGTGAAAAGGTGAACACTCGACAAGCACAGTATGCAGCACACAGGGGGCCTCTGGTAACATCAGTCGCCTTCCCTAGAAACCCCGGCAGTCCCTCTCACCGGTGCCTCACACTTCATGGCGAGAATTCACTACTTCTCAGCACTGCCTTAAAATAAAGCCACCAAGAGTCTGAGGAGGAAACACAGCAGAGTTCTGAGGGTGGAGTGAACAAAAGGTCTTTTACGGAAAACTCAGGATCTCCCCTATGCACGGTGCTGAATCCCTGTCTCAAAGTTCAGAGACCAGAAGGTATAGAGATGTGGCCCTTGAAAATCAAGCCCTTAATAAAACAGCCCAGCTGCATGGTGCAGGAAGCCCAGGCTGCAGTCCTGTGGTCTGGAGACAGCTGACGTTCAGGTGACAGACGTGCCCGGCTGCCGGTGGGTCCAGGGGGCATGGAGGCCCCACCATCCCTGGCCCAGGTTTAGGACCAAGTCCATGGGCCCAGGCCTGCTCCGGGGGCCGCAGCTCTTCACTCGGGGGCCGCACTGGAGCAGCCACAGCAGCTGGGGCGCCGCAGGGACTGCATGACAGCCCGCAGTGGGCCCCTCCGGCCCTCCACCGACAGGCTGTCTTCGCTGGTGGGCGCCCGCTGCAGCTGCTCAAACTGCATCTCGAGGTGCTTCTGGATGGCCACGCCGAGCACCTCCGGGTCCACCGCAGCTCCGTACACCTCCCATGTCATGCCCTCAGCATCCCATCGCACATCCCGCACAGGGGACGATGACTCCTCCAGGCTGGACCCCAGAGTTACCTCTGGGAACACGTGCAGGGCCACAGGCGCTTCCAGGGATGGACTGGTGGCCACAGCCTTGCAGGCTGCCACTGGGGCCACCTGCACACCCGCATCCTGGGCTGACAGTGGGGATGCCTCTGCAGGGGCCAAGTCACTGGCTGAGGTCATGGTCCACACATCTTTGGTCCTAGAGCCAGGCTCTGGGACTAAGCTGGTGGGACCCCAAGGGTGGGCACAGCAATGGGAGTGCCCAGGGAGCCCCCCAGACAACCTACAGTGGATTTTCACCCCGTGCCGAGCCTGTAGCCCAGACTCGCTCACTGACGCCACTAGTTTGGGAAAGGCCAGGATCCCGGTGGCAGGCAGGGCATGGCAGCAGCCACCAGCCCCTGCCTCCCTCATGTCACAGAGTAGAGCAGCTGGGGGCAGAGCATGGCAGGTGGTGGTAGCTGGCTGTTTGGGGGCTTTGGGGTCAGCCTGGGTACTGCTGCTGTGGGCAGTTGTGTCCCCAGGGTCTAGTGGTGGCACTGACAACTGACTTGCCCCCAGCATCCAGGCTGAGTTCGATGTCCCATCCTCAGGAGCCAGGTCTCTTGCCAGGCCTGCAGGGGCCTGGCCACCCTGGCCAGAAGTACCACCTGGCTGCAGCTGAGCCCTATGGATGGGGGAGCTGCCGAGGGCTGAGCAGCTGAGACTGGCCTTCCGGGCACCACTGTGTCCCCGCATCTGGGTGCTACGGACCAGGTCCGAGTGGCTCCTCTGCATAGCGGCTGCACTGGGGGCCCGCAGGCGACACAGGTCACCACCGCCCATGGTGGACACATTGCCCACAGTGCTGCTCCGCCAGTGGCCTCCAGCACTGGGTCGTGCCTCAGGGCCAGAGGCCCGTGCCGGCTCCATACTCTCAGGCAGGTCCCCCTCTTCCTCCGGGGCCCGGGATCTGGCACTGGCCTCGCCCAGCTGGGCCTGCCACACAGTGCTGCTGGCCCTCTTGCGAAGCTCTGGCCTCTGTCCCCGGCCTTCACCCAGCAGGCTGGAAGAGCTCTGGGATAAGGGCTGAAGGCGGGGGCTCAGGGGTGCCTGGGGACCCGGCTCCGGGCGGCTGGAGTTCATGGCTGCCTGCAGGAGAGAGAAAGGGAAGGAGTGAAGTTGAGTTGGGTGGCAGCACCTAAGCCCATTCTACTGTGAGCTCCCACAGTGCTAGGTTCCCTGGGGAGACAGCTTCAGTCCCAGCCTGCCTGACTGGTCAGAACCGTATGCAAGGTGGTGACAAGACACCAGACACTTCAAATCAAGGTCATCCACATTAGACACAAGGATGACACTGCAAATTATCTCAACATCAGTCCCAAGCAGTTAGAATCTGCCTTAGGGTGGGGTCCTAGAGGCTGCCACTGTGTCAGCTCTTGACTCTTCACTGGCTGGCCTGTGTGGGAGGGAGAGGGGAGGACCACATCTGCTGGGGCTTTGGGGATGAAACTGCAGCACTGGGGTTGGGGCTGTGGGACAACAGATCTTGGTCAGCCAGCATGGAAGCACTGTGGCCTCATCTGGCACAGCTGGACAGGCTAACACTAGGCTACTTCTTCCTGGGACTAGCAGTATCAACTCAGTGTGGACGGGGCCTCGTGGTACAGAGTGGGAGCTCAGAGAAAGTTCAGGGGATTAGGGAGC